AGTGACATTTATTTCTATTATCCATTTCAGCTAATCATTGGAAACACCTGCCCTCACAGCTTTGAATATTTTACCTCTCTGCAATCCACAGTCCAAATAGCTCAAGATCTTTGCTGACTTATCCATATAGAAAGCAAGCAAACATCAGCAGTGATTTTACTAGTGTTCAGTACACCAGTCTGATTCATCTCTCTGCTGTACTCCATTTGTGTACTTTTTCTTCTATAGACTTTCTAGTTCCCCATTGTTGGAAGATGCCTGTTTTCAATAAGAAACAAGACTGTTAGTTGCATTGCACTCCTCTAAAGGGCCACACTTTACAAATTTTGGATTTCAGCTGTAAACATCAAGTTCTGCATTACAGGCAAATAATGGGAGGCTTTAATATTACAATATTTCCCACAAGTAAATGTGTAAGGCATTCAGCTTTTCAGGTTTTAAGTCTCGCTTAGTTTTCCAACACTTGCATTTTATACTGATGGGTATCAGAAGTTTTTAACTTGGCACTTACAACAATATTCTGAGATTCCCGTTGCATGTAATGTAAGCTGGATCAAACCACAGATATTTGTAGCAGTTTAAGAAAGACAAGATGGGTGAGACATCTTCTATTACATTTATGGTATTAGCAAAACATATAAGCAAAACGTATCCAGGAAAGTTGCCTTCTGTATTTGGAAAGTGAAACTGAATAAAAGGAACAAGGGAGGTGTGATTTGAGGAAGCGAAGAAGATGAAGCCAGACTTTCTCAGTGCTATCGGAACAGACAAGAGGAAACGGGCACAGACAGAAACACAGGAAATTCCATTTGAACATAACACAAGAGGAAGAAGAGGAGAAAAAAACCCATAACTTCTCTACTCGGAGGGTGGTCGAGCAGGTGGACATATTGCCCAGAGAGGTTGTAGAGCCTCTATCCTTTGGAGATCCTCAAAATCCAGAGCCACCTGCTGCAGCTGACCCTGCTTTGAGCAAGGGGTTGGACTAGGTGATCTCTGGGTCACTGACAGCCTCAACTATTCAGTGATTCTGAAGCTGACAAAGTCACAGGCCAATGTCATAACAAGGATGGTTTTTCTTTAGAAAAGAAAGAGTTCTTATCAAGAAAAAGGGGACTGTGAGTGGTACCCAGTCTTCAAATAGTATTTGTTTACAACACGAACACTGAGTGGAAATGTAAATAAGTGGAGTAGATTAGCTCCATACTGATACTCCTAGACCCGCATTTTGTTTTTCTGCTTTATCAGTTTTTCTTCCAGTAACTTCCTTGCAAGTATGCTGCATTTTGACCTTTAAAAAGGTCCCAAAGATTAAATGTCCCTTTGTTTCCCTTTCTATTCATACAATTCTCAAGTGTTCTGCTCCCGTGGGCCGGTCAACATTAAAGCCTCATCTTCTCCTGTGACTTCCAAAAGTGACAAATCATTCCTGCCAGCTGGACGTGTTTGTTGTCCTGTAACTTCCAACCAGTCCCATGCCTGAGGCAACCTTAACTCATTCATTCCCAGTAAGGTATCGTTAAAACAGATGGCTAAAGAAAGCCACATGCATTTTTAGAACAATACAGAAATATTCCAGATGCCTCACATACCTCTTCATCTACATTTACTAGATATGCCCTTTCCTTTCCAACAGAAATACTTAGGACAAGTCTTAGTAAACTCACTATTGAATTAGATTTGTGCTTAAATTTTACGCAGACTTGGATAATGTCCAGCACTCGCAGTGGATTAGGAAAAGCTCTCAGTTTTATCAACTCTTTCATAGTAATGGTGTTGTTTCAGATTCCTCTGGATGAAGTACATACCCCAGCAAAGCATCCTGCCACAAAGGCAGCTGGCTTAATAAGCAACAAAGCTATAGAATAGTGTAGGAACCTTTCTGAACAGAAGTCAGAAGTTTTCTCTTAAAAATAAAAATGCAAAATGATTTTTCAAGTGTATTGCATCCTCTGTCAGGGCACAGCGATAATCACCCTATCTGAGGAGGTGCTTCTGGAGCCAGTTGCACCTACTTGGATATTGTCCTTTGCAGCACCCCCTTGACAACACCTCCACTCCCAACCCAGCCATCCTCCCTCACCGATGAAGCACAGGTGGCAGACAAACAACGCTTACCCCTGGATGTGCCAAGTACTTTGTTGTCTTAGTTGACAACAAGATCAGCTATTGCTCCACAGTTCTTTCATAGGTACAAAAAGACTCATTACCTCTGCGCAAAGGGAGAAATAAAGGGGGTTTAACAGGAAACTTCGTAATTAGGAAGCACAATTTAAGTCCTGGTGTATATACGCCCCTTTCTGAGTAATCCCACTGCATGCAGCTTCTCGTAACTTAATGCTGTTCCCTAACAAAGTTTCTAACCTTAGCCAGACTTTGACTTATACTGTTAGAGAAAATTAATTTCAAGAAGTCAGTTACACAATTCACATTAGTTCAGGAAACCACATCATTTTGCAGATACAAACAGGACAAACAGCCACTGGGCAAACTTGCAATATATCAGAGCCCTCTCAATGCACCTTGCAGCTAGGTTATATTTCGCTCTAACCTTATTTTGAGAACAAGGTCAGTCAGGTCTTGTGTTTGGGAAAATGCGGGACACAAATCTTGCAGGCGGCACCTTCTGAGCCCCTCAGAAAGGGACGCTCCCCACTGGAGGTGGCATTCACTTCTGCCAGCCCTGTGCCCTGAGAGCAGACAAGAGGTGCGAGTCCCAAGAACCACTCACTTGTAGCATCAAATCTTGCACTGCTGAGCTATGTATGCAAAAGCAGCTCTCTTTGCACACAGCAATAAGCCAAGAGACCATTTGACACTGACCAAGTATTTTCACAGAACACTTGAGGCTATAGCCCTCTGAGAGCCATGGCGTATCATCACACACATTGCTGTTTCATGCTTTCTGCCCGTTTAGATCTCTCCCTGCCCCACTTTCTGCAAAGGATGAATTCAAAGCCTATTTAGCTCTTTCAGGATCTGAGGCAGGGAATATCAAGCACAGAGCTGGGCTAACCAAGCATAGACTGCATCTCTGAAAAGCCTCAGCTATGATTTGAGACAACTTTTTTTATCCATTAAAATAATCTGTGGAGGCTTGACTCTCCTTCCCCCACAGACCAACTGATCCAAGGCTGTACAGCTGAATTACTGGCTTGAATCAGCTTTGACACTTTAGGCAAGCTAATTAGGGGTGTGAAAGTCAACATTTACCACAGTTGCTTTTTCATCACTGGTGACATTGCTTTTGCCAACACTCAGCACGAGCTATTTGCCTTTAACAAGCTTTACCAGATGATTCCACCCGCTCCACCCCCAACCCCCAACCCCCTGACTTCAGCTCCAGGGTTTAGTCTGAGGTTCAGCACAGCCATCCCTACAGGCCGGGCAGCAGGTCATGCTGAGCCTGTCTTTAACACCAAAGCTTTGTCCTGCTGTTTAAGTACACGCAGGAGCAGTGCTGGGACCTCCAGCTCAGCTGTAGCTCTGGCATCCAGCACTGCAAAAGCCAGCTCTGCCCAGTGCCCAACTCCTTCTGCAAAATTTAACGCTTGGGATCCCAGCAGAAAGCAATTCTAGCAGGTACGGCTCTGCTATGGGCCCTGGGCTGCCAGAAGGGGTCAAGTAACACGTGCTTACAACCAGGGTATCATCTAGAATCTAGTTACATAAACTAAATAATCCGATGTAATCAGAGAAACCTCAGACAAGTTGGCTCTGGCATTTCAAGAGAGCGTCTGTTATTGCTATTATATGTACTGGTATGGTAAGTCCAGGCTTACTGCTCACTGGAAACAGCTAATGGTTAGCACAGGAAAGTTTGGCACAAAAAAAAAAAAACCAAAACCAAACCATGACAGGTGGTGTAATGAAGACCCAGAACTGTGGCTGTTCCTCTCACTAAGAAGCAGTAATTGTAAGGTTTTTTCAGACAACTTTCTCTCTCACCTTATGCTCCTTCAAGTGCTTCCTGATTTTGCACTGAAAAGGCTGAGAAATGGAAGTAGAAAAGTCATTAAGACTTAACAGAAAGGAAGCAAGCTGGAAAATCTTGTTCAGTGCTTTCCTGTCTAGTACATGCAATGCTTGACAAGGTCAGGTTCTCACTGTACCACTCAGGATAGCTAATTTTGCAGCATTAGAACATTTATAGCCAGAACATTAGAACATTTATAGCCAGAAATAGAAAAGTAATAGCAGAAGGAATAACAAAATTGGAAGACAGCTGTCTGGTTACCTGTGGTGGTATCTAAGCAAAAGAGGCTGTTAATTCTTTTCGCTCCTGTTTGTTGGACCCTTCCTTTCATCTCCGGGACTATGCTCAATTCCCGATACCTCACCCCAATTGCTATATGCCACCAGCAACCTGGGCTGTAGCCGTTTCTGTTCCTGACAGGAGCAAAAAAACTACTGGAAGCTCTTTTCCTCTCATAAGGATCCCCTAAATGCAAAGGACCAGCAGCACAAAACACAGGACTTGCTTAGCTATGCCGATGGAGGCACACCGGGCTGATACACAAAGAAGGTGGTTGCCCCTTTCCCTGCTCTGCAGGCAGCACGGCGCTGTGCACAGACCAGACTGAGGTCTGCTTTTGGGCATCGGCAGCTCTGTCCCCTCCCACCACCTGTGTTTTACATCAGTCACCTGGACTCAAAGTAGGTTAGTTCAGACACTCCGCAACATTAAACTTCATTTTACCTCTGCTATGAGGACAGATTTTTCAGCATAATTTTAGTCTTTTCTTCTAAGACACTATTAATAATGATATTAGAGTACAATTCAGTGACAGTCATCAGCATTAAGTCTGTATAGAAATGCCATTGTATTTAAATATGCAGATTAATCTTACGCACCTTTTTTTCTTCAGAGCACATAGTAATGGAAAACAGATAGCATCTAATTATGCCATTCATTTTGTGAGCGTAAGGCTACTGTTTGTTTTAATCAAACATCCTGCTGCAAAAAGCTATCAATAGATGTGACTCATTACCTTTCCTACCTTGGCCAAATATCGTGCCCGACAATCCAACCACCTCTGCGAGCCAGAAGTTCTCTAACCTAGATGCAGGACAACTGCCCGTCTCTGAAGCAGGCAGCAGTCGCTGGAGAGCATGGGGACAGCCCAGCGAGCACACGGCCAGTGGCATGCCCTCCCCAGTGCTCCTCCAGAGAGGCCCTTACCCTGAGCAAGCCATTTTACACAGATTTCTCCAGGACAACTCGGCCAGCCTGGGGCAAGTAGCTTGGCAACCCAAAGATAGGCGTTTTGCAGATTTATCGAGCTGTTCTTTCCTCAGTTCTCCAAGGAAACTAAAAATTACCCACAGCAATTAATAGTTAGACTGAACCCAAGAAGTTTTGCCCATTAGGCCGCATCATATGTTCAGTCTTTTGCCACAGGAACAGGAGTACCAGCCTCCTCAAAGAGCCCCCTCAGAGGCGCTGTAGGTGCCCCTTTTCAGCAGCACCTCTCCAGACCCGCTCTGAGAAACGGGAGCGGCTTAGAACAAGTGGTGCAATAAATGGAATTTGATACCGCAGTCACTGTGCTGCCTAATCCCCAGTCTACACGTCTGTCCTGTCAGGCTTTTTAGGTCATAGATATTTGCTTCCCTTGGTATTATTCCCAAACTTTACCTGAAAAGCAGCACAGTTACAGGAATTGCATCTTACCCTGCTGTAATTCAGCACATTACACTGCAAACTGTATTTGAGAATAACCTGTGTGGATTTCTAGAAAGAAAAACATAAGATTTGTTTTACAGTAACATTTGTCCAGAATTGAAGACATATGCTTAAAATAGCTGGGTTTGAAGAGGCCAGCACAAGTAGTACTTCCAGTGCAGCTGAAAGAAACAATATTTGCTTAGCAAAACATGAGTCCAGGATCTTGGCAGAAAGAACTTATTTTCCTCAAACAATTGTCAGGATTTTTTTTTTTTTTTAATAAAATTAGGAGTTGATCTTCCAACTAGTGAACACCACTGAACCCAGCTGATCAGACTCCTCCAAAACCAGAGTTTTGCTTGAGAGAGTCATTTACGCTACCATATTTTCATGGTATTTTAGAAGTTCCGAAAACTTCTGAAGAGAGTATTTCTTAACTCTGAGTAGCTGTTTGCTAATGCCAGGAGGTGGATTTTCGTCTTGCTGCTGACTCTCATATAAGCATTGAGGCATTATGAGTTTTTCCCAGCTGAAGTATCCAGTTGCCTTCTTGTTTGCTTATGCAGGTGTTTTACGTAATAGCCCCAGTAAGGCTGACGCTTTCGGAAAGCAGCTGCAGCATAGGCAGCATTGTAAGAGCTCACCACCAACAGTTTAGCTGACCTCTAAGAGCACAAGAAAACAAGTCCTACGCCCTCTAATATTCAAGCAAATTGAAGTGTTCAAATTGCATTATGATTTTGCACTGCTAGTAAGAACACCTGATAAGCAACACCCTAATGCTCTAAAGGGATCAAATACCGCAAAATGTAAACAGACACAGTAAAATGGGGGGGAACGGGACAGCACTAAAACTGTTTCCCATCTAGCTTTAGCCATACTTAGTCCTGACTCTGACTAATGTAGCTAAATAGGTACTCAATTCAAAGTTCTTATACTAAAGAATAAAATTATCAAGAAAAATCTGGAGTTAGATTATTTACCAGAGAAACACACAGAGGATGTCTAACTGTCCTTCCCAAGCTTAAACTTTCCCTTTTAATCAGGTTTGTAAGTCTGCTGCTGCTTTCAGCTGAAGGAGCAAGCGACCCTCCAGCAGGCAGGCCTATCAAACTTCCATAAGGCAACTGTCTCAGAAATAAATCATTTAAAGACCCTTAAAAACAGCTCAATTTCCTTTCAACCAATCAAAGATGCAGCCTTCACCCCTTTAAATACCTGACTAGATGAGCCCAGCTGGAAGCTCATTTTCCTAGGATGGGAAGGAAGGACCTTCTCCAAGGACTTAACTCCTTCCCTGCCTGATGAAGGGTGAAACTTCACAAGCATTTCTCTTTTATGTCAGTAACTACACTATGCCCGTTAGCCTGCAGAAGAGAAGGCTCAGGGAAGATCTCACTGGTGTGTATGAATATCTGATAGGTAGGAATAAAGGGGATGGAGCCAGACTCTTCCCAGGGGTATCCAGTGACAGGACACGAGGCGTCAAGCGCAAACTGAAGCACAGGAAATTCCACTTAAGGAGAAAGAAAAACTTTTTTACTGTTAGGGTGGTAAAACATAGGAGTAGAGCTGCCAAGCAGATTGCAGAGTCTCTGTCCTTGGAGACACTCTAAACCCAACTGGACGTGGTCCTGTGCAACCTGCTGGAGCTGACCCTGCTTTCAGTGGGAGTCAGGCGATATGGTCTCCAGAGGCCCCTTCTCACCTCAACCGGCCCGTAATTCTGTGTCCCTGCAGTACAGCACTGGCACAGCACCTATCACAGGGCAGATTGGTACCCACTGTAGTGTGACTGTACGTGATCCTCTGACACATGTAACTCTTTCTCCATGTGAGTATACCTGTGAAGACACCTCGAGTCCCAGGAACTAAAAATGTGATTTTGGATGAGTGATGAGGCTGAAGTGGGAGCCTCTGCCTTCCTTTGGGAAACCCCATGCAATAACCAATTAAATAGGCTTAATTTTTTGCAGCTTTATTGATTCCTCCTTGAAGTCACATTTTTTAACCTCACTTCTCCCCACTTCCTTTAGTTTTTCCTTTACAGTTTACCCAAATTCAAGGGTACGTGTCAGTGCATCACCCCCAGCTGTGCAGTGTCTGAGTACATTTAATTCTTTCCTTTAGCACAAAGGGATTATTATTCCATTTGATTTTAATCAGCTTCTGGGAATACACCCAGCCATTCTCCTGTGCAAGTTGTCCTTTGTATGAGGATTCTGTTTTTAGAAGCGTCTCACGTGAGCTGGATCAAGGATTAGCAGTGGGTATTTCCAAGCACTCGTGGTCACAGTTAACATCCTTTAGGCTTTTTTCTGCTATCAGAAGGAAAAAAATCCTTCCTGGGGTACTTGAGTCTGAAAGAGAATCAAACAATTCAGTGGCCAAGCAATACCAGAGCCTCCCATACCAGAATAGTCCCATGATTTGCAGGCAGTTACATTCTTGTCAGAACAGGGCAGCAGGAGGATCTGCTAGAAATCTTTTTGAAAGAGCTTTTAAGCTGTGGATTTGGCACAAGCAAGGCCCTGTTTCTACAGCCTCACAGGGAACACAGAAGAAAACCTTCCTTTTCTGTGCCCTATGCCTGCGTGGATCACTCCTCCGTTAAGGCTTATCTACCTTTCACGTAATAAAGCCTGCAAATTAATCAAGGGAGGCAGCAACAGGCCGAGACTTTCAAGACAGAGTTTCTGCCTCCTCCAACTTGCACAGCTGCCGTTTCTACAAGTTTATTTGTTTTACCTAGCACCCAGTCCACCTCAGCAGAAAAAAAGGTGGCTGCAAGCCTGCAGGAGCTCTACACCTTTGTGTTCCTCGTAGTGTTAAAGCAAGTGCCTCAGCCTCTCACCATTTGCTGCTACAGGACAGAGAAACATTATCCTAATTTTATCACAATGACTTGAACAAGGTATGCAAGAGGTCATTCGCTGAAGCAGGAATTCAACCCAGAGATCCCAAACTATCCTTTGCCCTTGCCGTATTGATATCTTAGCCTATCTGCTTCAGTTTCAGAAAGGATGTGATAGCTGAATTGCTGAGGGTTATAGCTCCAGGGTATGTTCCTGACCAAAACACTGTTACCTGGCAACTTCATCCTGCCAGCTGTGAAATCAGCCCACGAAAGGAAGGGTAAATGACCATACGATGCTAACTGTGCCTGAGCAATCCCCCTCTCCATAGTGACTGCAGGCAGGAGCCACCACGGTCTTCAGTGTTGACAGTATAGGTCTGTGAAGGAAAAGAGAGCCGCGCCTGCACTGGCTTTTAACTGCTGCTCAGAAGCTGAGCTTGTTACCCTCAACACAAGCTTACACCCGCTTTGGGAGTCCAAATCCTCACCCCCTGCTTGGGCTGATTCCCAAACAAACTATATATCTCTCTCTCCCCGTCCCCAAACACGGGATGCATTAAAACATTAGTTTCTGTAAATATGAGTGCTGTCAAAATGGTCTGTTGAACTGATAAGGTACCCGGGAGCTGCAAGAGTTCAGTGCCTACTGTGTGCACATGCTGTGTACCTGCTTAGGGACCACAGTAAGTGAAAAGCAATACTTCCGTGCCCTGAAACCCATAAACAAGAACAGCTTTGACCTGGTAACTGCCTAATCCTTTATCCAAAAGGCAAACTAGCCCTTCTGCCCTCCCCTCCTGTTCTACAGGCAGAAGGTGTGCTCCACAGCCACCTTTTAATTTAACAGCAAACATTTCACAGAGCTTGAAGTGTTACGCAGCAAAATAAGGCACAACAACATGAGAGTAATACCAAGCAATACAGTGCTTTAAAGTACTCTTAAAAAAAAAGAAAAATCAACCCAAAACTTTATTTAGTAGAAAACTTTCAGAAGACAAAATTAGTCTGTTTGAAGTATTACACTGACAACATACTCATTAAAGACAATTCCCGTTCTCCTAAGGTGTAATCCCGTTTCATACTGCACCCTTTATTCATTGCTTTCATCCTTACAGAGAGGCTGTAAAGTTCTTCTTCTGCAATGCCATCAAAAAAGAAGTCCTCATTGAAGATGGGATTTCTGCTTCTCTTTATAACAGTGCTTCTCTGCTTCTGTGTTTTCCCTGGCACCAGGGAGAACGTGATACAGCAGTTGATGTTTTTGGGCTCTACAGAGTCATCATATAACCCCTCTGCACTGATGAGGCGGATCCGCAGCCGTTCATTTTCTGAGCAGTATTCAGCCGACAGCCTCAACCTGCCTCCCTTGTCCATTACCACAGCACTCTCTCCCACTAGCCTCTCCCGGCTGCAGGTCAGGTCCAGGGGAAAGATGGGAGGACAGGACACGCTAGAGCTACGCGTGGCAAGCAGCCCCTCTGAGGCCCGCCTGATGGCACTGGGGCTGTTATCAGTAGAGCTGCTCTCCTCTGTAGAGAGAGAATTGTTTCTGGCCACGCTGGATTTGTTCTTGGCTTTCAGCGCTCGGCAGAGCAATCCCTCCTGACTTTGTGTTTTGATCAA